CATTTTCTTGCAAAACACTACCACTTATGGGAACGTTTTCTTGTCTTTTTTGAGTAAACCACTTAATAAGTCCCTTGTCAACCTTTTCATGTGCAGATAATTTTAACATCCTACATCTAACATTTGTTTTGTCATACGCTGATAAAATGTTTTCTCTGTTTTTCCATATCGTTGCAACAGTAGACTTTCCAAGTGCTAATTCCTTACAAATGTCACTCTGTGTTACTCCACTTTTTATTTTGTTAATAATCTCGTACTTTTCATTTAGTGAAAAAGCTTTGCGTCTTTGTTTTTCCATTCTAAAACGTTTACATACATAACGCGGCAAAAAACACCAAGTCACTGCCTGTCTCTCGCTCTCACTAAGATAAACTCCGCATGATGTCAGCGGATGAGCATCCGCTGAGCGTGGAAGTTCGTTATAAACGAAAAGTGAATATACAACTAACCTAAAAAGTGATCGTTATATCCGGAAGTTCGTTATAAACGGGTTCGTTATAACCAGTAAAAAATACGTTGGTCTTTATGGATGACGTTTCAATTAAAGGAAAAAAGTTTGTTTTAACCGAAAGTTCACTATAACCGGGTTCATTATAAGCGGACTTTACGGTACTTTCAATTTCGATTTTTGTTCTTTTTCATTTTTGAAGTTATTTCAAATCATCAGTCAAATCAAGAAACAAAAAATACTCTCTTGGCACCCGTTCGAGCGCTTCAAGATGGTGTCTGAAAATTTTTTACAAGGTTTCGTTTCTTTGAAGCCATCATCACCCTTTTAAAAGCGAATTCAACTATGTTAATCACAGTGTTATTTGTTCCGTTTCTTGAGTCAAAAAAACTGTTTTATTTTATAAATAACTTGACTTAATAAGCCAGTTGATACGTACTTCCGGTATAATTACTTGGGTAAACTGTCCAATTTCCAAATTTACTCTCATCATAGTTTGCAGGTCGTTTTCAATTGGACATGCTATGCGTGTCTGTTTTTTGTCTCATGAAACTGGTCCAACCATAAAATCTGGATTTGTCTCAATTGGACACCGTGTATACCTGCGCCATTTGTATTTCACTTTAATTTAACTGCCGCAGTAATAGCGAGATCTGAGGATAATTGTGCCGCAGCGGCAACAGCGTGACGGGTGTATGCCGGTTTTGCTGCGCACATGTGTTGGGATCCACGCCGGTCTGCCGGTCGGTTTAAAATCAGTTAGTTCGAAGCAAGCATCGAGTTTGCTGGCTTTTGCTTGAACATAAAAATTCGTTAACACAGTAAATGAACCATTTTTTTAATACAGCAAAATTAGATTGAATATATTTTTATACCGGTGAATCAACGTGTATGTTTACCATTTAGTCGTACGTCGCTTGTTTATGTTCCTCCATCAGTCGGAATCGTCGGACTGAACCTAGTGCTTAACCTAACCCAAAAAAAAACAGAAAAAACAACTCTCCCCCGCCGGTCGTAAAGTAAACTGTATGAGCGCACCCGGTTGCATTCATCATCAGAACTCGCCATCACTATCGACAATCAATTAAATTCAAAGGAACCCGCTTCAACTGCCTAACCACCCGCCGAATGTCCGTGAGTTTGTTCTCCGAAATGGACAGATCGAGCGGAATCGGGGACGAACGAGCCCTCCAACTTGCCCTTGAACTCTCCATGCTGGGGTTCAGTGATCAGCTCAGTACCGTTAACGTTCCGGATTCTGATCCCCATAGCGATCTGAGCCCGTTCGTCGGCTCCATTGGCTCACCGTTGGAGGATATCCGGTCTAAAAAGTCTCAGAATATGACGGAGTGCGTGCCCGTGCCCAGTTCCGAACATGTGGCTGAAATTGTAGGCAGACAAGGTAAGCTTCGACATTCTCATTTCGAGATGCTTTTTGCAATTTTTTGAATATTTCCTGTGGGTGTTCGTCACATTGTTTTCTTACTTGTACGTTTCTGAGCGAACCACACTGGTCCAAAGTCTACTCTCCACGTGGTTTGGAGAGTATTTCATGTGAAAATCTACTTCCCCAAAGGCGAGGAAATATCTTCAACAATGTCTTTCAACAGTTTATCAGAGTTGTGAAAACAGCACATTCAATGGAGAAAACTGACCATTAATCTGTATATTTACCACCTCAGGTGTTTTTATGTCGATAGTGTTAATGATCTTCTATTAAGTTCAACTGGAAAATACTGTAAAACACTGATGGATATCAGCAGCTGCAAGAACAGCGAATTCAATGGAAAAAGCTTTGTTTAGTTGCGGGTTGCTAAAGGAAATTCCATTATCAACCTCACTGTATCTCTATCACGTTTCCATTAACTTCAGCTGAAAAAATTAACGACAATTTTCGAATCTTCGAGTGAAATTCTCAAGAAAAATTGTTGAAAAAGTTTCAATCCTGCCTTTGACATAATGGCAAATATTCCTGGAAAACACCATTAAAGCCCCATAGAAATCAAAGGTGGCAAAAGTAGCACATTTAATGGCAAAAGACTGGTTTAGCTGCAGCTTCTAATGCAAAACTGACATTATTTCCATTATGTTTCGTTGAACTTCAACTGGTCCAGGACAAACCACTTTCCATTTCACAACATTCTCTTTTCAGTTTTTTTTAGTTCTTCAATGTGCAACCAAAGACCAAACTTGCCCTTATGTATTTTCAACTTGCCGCCAAAATTGCCAAAAAACACCCTGTTTTTCTTGGCGATTTTGAAAACAAATCAATTGGGCCTTCTACACGTAAAATTTGAGGCCAAGAGTCTCTTAACGATAGAGATTTTCTATTGGAGTTTTGTTTAGTCGAAAACGTGCTTTTGCTAAATTACTCTTCGTTACTTGTTCATTTGGTAAAATATGAAAATTAAGTTTTGCGAGTAGGAAAATCAATGAAACTCTGATTTTTTTATATATTTCGGCAAATAACAGGCAAAACGTGCTTTTTTCAGTTGCTAGAAACTTTTCTAATTCTATTCCCAAAAAGTGATGCATTAAGTAAGTTACTACTAAAAGCGACTGAAACTGGAACATACTTTAACGAAAAATTGGAAACAAGACGCTCTAGAAAAGTTGCAAAAGCAACAAAAAGAAAAAGAGCGGAACGAAAACGGACAGGAACAACAATAGATATAAACCAGCTAAACTAAAAGTAACTTAACAATTGCTAATTGCTGTTTATGTTTCAAGCCCAAATTGTATTTATAACAAAGCCTGGGTGTCCAAGGCATTTCTAAGCGTAAATTTGGCACTTAATTACTCAAACAATTATTTATCAATTAATCGAGTCGGTTAATTATGCGTGTTGATAGCGTTAGTTGTGTGTTTCATTAGTCACACTGATACCAGAACTTATTTAATTTGCAATTGTTTCATGACAATTTTTACGCACTTTTTAACACCATTTATTTACTATAATCAATCCGTTGTTTAAAGGCAATAAACTCAGCTGAAAACTGTTTCTATGAAAAAAAAGGCGACTAAACAGTGCTATAAATATCGAGTTTTAGTCACTTACTTTATAATTTTACTCGACGAGATAAGATAAGCATTTTATAGATATTATATGTTCCGTCCCCTTGCAGCTACTGCAAACTGTATAATATAAACTATCTGGTAAACAACGTGGAACACATGCCCGAAGAACTATTAACATATGGTGTGTGGTTTATTTTTTTGGGTTTTCTAGTAAAGCGCCATTGATGCACACATTAGCGAAGAGTCCAGCTTAAGGAACACCCTGTATCGCAGGCATTTTTTATGCAAAGTTCTCTTGTTGAGTGCCGTTTTCTTCAATAGCGTCGGCCGTCTGGGCGCATTTGACAAAGTTCAGGGTTAATAACATTCGCCAACCCTCCTATTCGGGCGCTTTAGGGTTCTGTCTAATAAAACAGGGGTGAATACTCGGGAGGATATGGGAATGGGAATCGCTTTTACTTATTCTTACCAGGCACGGTCATATTGGGGTCCAGAGACCCCTCTTTACGAGACAGACATTGCAGAAAAATTGGTCAGAAAAAATAACGAATTTTTATTTATTTTTGCCTTTGGTCTATCGGAAAATTAATCCTAGTATTCATACATTTTCAACGTTTATTTAAGAAAAACAACCTTCTGTTGAATCAATCCTGACAAAATTTTTAAATGTTTTGGCCTATTTCGGTTTTTCTTCTGGTCTTCAACAAATGGATGATTAAATAAATTTTGTTTGGATTCGCACGCACAATTGTTTTTTACTTCTGTTGCTAACCAGCAAAAGTAGAAATCAAATAATTTCATCAGCGGACAAAATTACAGTTTGGAAAAAAACAAGTGGAAGAAGGCAACAAAATTATCAACACAGTGCAGCAAAACAAAGCAAAGAAGGAAAGACGAGAAGAAGAAACCTATGAAATCTGAAAACTTTCGTCTAGTAAAATACAGGTAGAGTGCCAGTAGAAAAAATTATCAGCCTTTATCCGTGACTCATTCAAAACAAAGTGCGATAAGAAGGTGACAAATATGAAGGATGCGGAAGCGTTAACACCTTGTAGAAATATCACCTAAGAACGAACATACATAAATCAAATCACGAATTCGATAAAACAATTTGAAGATGGGGCAACAAAATGACAATAAGAAGAAAAATGAAGTCATTGCGTTGAAACATTATTAAAATATCACATAAAAAGAAAATATGGAAAACATTGAGCATCATTTGAAAAAAACAAATGCAAGTAGACAGCAACAAAATGGCAGGCCCAGTTCAGCAGAATAAATAAAGCTGTAGACAAGAATAGGAAACATGAAAAAAAAGAGACTAATGTCAGTCATTACGTTAAAATATTGAAATTACAGAAAATATTGTACTAATGTACTATGTATTGTACTATTGTAACTAATGTAGACAGGGAGTACTTAAAATAGAACAGAAGGATCAAGAAAAAATTTTCATGTTTTAATTTTACATTATAAATATAAATTAAGATTAATTAATAAATTAATAGTAAATACTTTGTATCTTTACTAGGGCTTATTTTCTTAATTTTTTCTAATGTTAATTTAAATTGCCTCTTTCTGTCTCTCAAAATCCGCAAGAAAATTTTAATTTTTTACGAATATGCGAAAAAAGAAAAATAAAAACGAAATTAATTAATTAAAATTGAGTAGCGAAAAAGTGTTGTGAAAGTGAAAGTGTAATTTGATAGAACAAGTGGAAGATCAGAACTTAAAAAGACAATCGCAGTTCAACAAAGCAAACTAAAGACAAGAAGCGGGAAAAACGTCCCATGGAAAATAAAATGCAGGTAAAAAAATTAAGAAAGATGAGAATCAAAATGGAGCAAAACGAAGAAAAGCAACGAAAAAAAGGAATTTGGTCAGGAATTTTGCGTTAGGATAATTTCCCTAACAGAAAAATAACCACAGTAAAAGTTCTTTTGTTCTTTACTAAGGCATATTTACTTCATTCACCCTAATTCAATTTTAAATATGTTTCTGCCTTGAGAAAATAAATATAGAAAAATATACCTGAAAATTGCGCTTTTTCAATGTCCAAATGGGAAAACTTTTCGACTTAGCTCCAAACCGTTTCCTAATTGATTTTGATTATTATTCACTTTCTAATCTGCTTGTTTAAATTCAATTTGCTAAGCGGGCCGATCGAAGCAAAATATTGGCGCTTTTAACCATTTTTCCTCTAAACACAAATAAAATAATTTAAACCAGACAAGAATAAAATTGCGGCCTATTGTCAGTTTTTGCGTTGAAACATTGGCAAAATCACATTAAATCATTTCAAAAAACAAATGAAGAAGGCAAAAAATGACAAGCATAGTTCGACAAAATAAGTAATATAAAAGACAAGAAGAGGAAGAATATGAATACTTTTGTCAGTCATTGTGTTAAAACGTTGACAAAATATCACAGGAAAAATGAATGAAATTAATGAAGAAGGAAGGAAAGCTGTGAAAACGTTCGTTAAGGAATTTGAAGTAAAAGCGCAGTAAAAGCTTATGTTGGGTTTCACGCAAGGTTATTTTCTTGATTTTTCCTCATATCAATTTAAATTGTCTTTTACTGTTTGTGAGAGATGAAATAAGTCCAACTTCACTTGAAAATTGAAACATTGATAAATAGGGAATAGAAGGGGAAACAGCATTTCCATCGAAAACTCATAAAGCGTCTTTTTTCTTAAAGTGCCAGAATAAAGCAACAAAACAAGAATCGTAGAAGAAAGAATTGAAAAAGCAAAAAAAGTGGAAGAAAAATGTGAAATACGAATTCAATCATTGCTTTAACATTAGCAAAATGAAATAGGAAAGAAAATAGACAGAAAATTAATCAAGGGAAGGAGCGAAAAAGGAACAACAGCAAAAAAACGAGTTTGGCTAAGAATTTTGCGTTACGATCGTTTCCCCAAACAAAAAAAAACTTACCACAGTAAGGGTTTTTCCTTCCACTGCAATTTAAATCACACCTGTTTCTGCTTTAAGAAAATAAAATATGTACCTATACAAAAATATACTAGAAAATTGCAATTTTTCAGTGTCCAAATTGGAAAACTTTAAGAGCTTGAAATCGTTTCCTAATTGATTTTGATTATTCACCCTCTAATCTGTATGTTCTGACTCAACTTGCAAAGCGGGCAGCTCAATGCGAAGTATTGGCGCTTTTAGTCATTTTTTCCTCTAAACCCAAATAAATTAAAATATTCACTCTAACGATCATCCAGAAAATACTGAACGTTTTTAGCGAAAGGAGCATTTGGCAAATAATCGGTTTTCCATAAAATTCAGTTTTCAACGTTTCCGAAAATCGACTTTGATCTATAAAATGTGCAAATTACGTGAAAAGGTGGTTAGATGAGTCGCTTTATTTAGT